TTCGTGTCAACTACTGACTGCGGGCCAGGCAAGAGATAGACACTCAAGAAAGCTGAACATCCAGAAGTGGAAGAAGCTTTGTACATGAGGTTTCTTCAGGAAAGAAATAGGCATGCACCAATTTCAGGACCCATGGTGGCCATGAAAGCTAAGTTTTTATAAGGAAATAACAAAAAAGGATGATTTTGTGGCCAGCAAAGGATGGCTAGAATGTTTTAAAAGTCGTAATGGCATACGTTTAATGACTATTACAGGAGAGAAACTTTCTAACGATGCCACCTGCGTAGAGACCTTTAAATTAAGATTTTTGCAAAAGGTGAACGATTTAAATCATGACCCGTCACAAGTGTACAATGCAGACGAATCAGGGCTTTTTTGGCGTGTGGTGCCTAACAAAACTTTCGTTTCTTGTAACGAAAAATCCGTACCTGGACGAAAAGTAAGTAAAGAGCGTGTAACCATACTACCATGTGCTAACGCTGCGGGCACACACGTGCTTAAGATGATGGTCATTGGGAAATCTAATAAACCACGGGCATTCAAAAACATTAATTTACCTGTACACTATTACGGACAAAAAAGTGCATAGATGACAAAAGACCTTTTCAAACAGTGGTTTGATGAATGCTTCGTACCTGAAGTTAGAAAATGGTTAAAAGATCATAATTTTCCTCAAAAAGCGTTGTTGAACTAACAACTGAGGATAAATGCATCACTGCGATGTTTCTTCCGCCAAATTGATTCAACCAATGGACCAGAATATCATTCAGTTTGTCAAGCAAGACTATAAGAAAAAACCTACTTCTGAGAGCCGTATCAAAAGACCAACCAATAGAAAAAACTTTGAAAGAATATGAAAGACTTGGTTTTTGCTTTTTGTCAGTTATGGAATGCGTTACCGTCATCAACTATTAAATCGTCTTGGAAAAAGTTATGGCCAGATATAGTCACCACTCCTAGCAACGTTCCACAAATCATTGTAACTTCGGAAGTTATAGAACAAGTCGCTACTGAAACACAGATAAGTCCGGAAGATTTGGAAATCTGGTGCCGTGGAATGGATAAAGAGGATGTTTTTCATGAAATGTCTGACGAAGAGATTATAAAAGAGGTTTCTAAATATATATATATATATATACATATTGATAAATAAATTAATGTTTTTGATTAATAATTCTTGATTATTTTGGTACATATGTATGTGCATTTATGCTTAATTTTATAATAAAACTTAAGCTCTCTATTGTTATTTAATTTACTAAATTCGACATACATAAACTACATATGTATGATTTGTACTTCAAAGTACATACATATACATAACATACAAATATAATCTTACCATTGGGTACGTAATTTGTCGGATTACAAGGTACTCTTTTGTAAAAAAATTCGGACTATAGGGGGTCTTAGGCAGTGCTCTATAATCCGACAAATGCGATAGTCCGACACTGCCCTGCATAATGTTTGTCGGATTACCGGAGGCCAACTTACAACCCCGTGGCGTACGGCGAGTGCGACCGATAGTAGGTGCATCGAATTACAGAGGTTGTATTGATTTAACAATATACACCCTCCTACAGCCTTCTACCTACTAATTTTTTACCCTCAAAACTGATAATCCTCTGAAATGTCAAAAAACGAAATATGATTTTTATTTTTTTGTTTTTCGCATTTCTCTCCGCCGTTACTGGACCGATTTTCAAAGTCTATGAAAAATGTTCGTCCTCGGCAAATTTCATCCAAATCTGAGCACTACTTTCTAGGTTATATGAGTAGACGGGTCAAGGATAGCGGACGGACAGACCGAGTTTTTTTCGTAATGTACATATCGTTAACATCCAAAAAACGTTATATCTCATTTTCGAAATTTTTCGTGATTACAATACTTGGAAGGAAGTTAAAATAAAAAATGGTTCTTAGGATATTCAGTGTTGTGTGTGAGAATTTCAGTTAGTAAGCCTCATTGTTGGATTCAGCATACCAACATTGATGGGGAGGAAAAAACAATCAGTGTTTTGATGGGAAAATGTGGGTTTGTGTCTAGACCAAAGTAGCACTTGAACCCAAACAGTTCGCCTGAGAGAAAAACTAAAAGGAAACTTTTATGTACTATTATTTTTGATATGCAGATTGTTAAGAAAAAGCTGCTTCTTCAGTTATAAGTATAAACCAACAAATATTTTTTATTTTTTTAAACTTTTTTAAAATGAGAGATATCAAATCAAATACTCCAATAATTTGGACTACATTATGATGCATTAGTTAGTTTTAAGATTCCTCGATCATCAAGATGTCATTTTGAATGAATATCGCCACTTGCTCTCAAACTATAAATGCGTAGCCTCTTGCAGCAGCACTACAAGATAGTCGTTCTGGCTAACAAATCAGCTGATATCTTTGTCTTCATCTCTTCGTGTATGTACCGTTAAGTTCTGCACTTTTCATACTTTTCTGACCAGGCAATCACCATATTGCAATGCCGTTTGATCAAGCACATTGAATTTTCCGCAAATAACTGTGATGTCTAATTTTTTTGGAACTTTGTATTTACCTCCAATTTAGGTGTTATATGAAGGAACAAATACATTATAAGCAGGATTTGTCAATTTATAAGAGGTCAACAATTGCAGTTTTACCAGATTTGGATTGAATTGATATTATTTATTATTAATATCACAAAATATATACTAAGTGACATATAAATCCGAACACCCAGTTTAAATGGTTTCATTTTAATAAAAGTTGGTGAATGTATTAATCTGACTGTAAATAACAGGTGAAAAAATTTTCAGCCTTATCAGTTGGACATTCCGGTTTTTATACTGCTTTTTTTTAATTCACTAACGCTCTAAAAATGAATATTTCAGCTGCAGTAAAGAATCAACGTTGGCGGATTTTGGTTCTTGACATCCTTTACGATCGGTTACGATGCCTAGAGTACGGAGACCTGTACGATTTCGTCAACTTAGCAAGTTTGATAGGGGCCGTATATTGGGACTTCGGGAAGCTGGATTTTCTTTTCGGGCAATTGCAGTTAGAGTGCAAAGAAGTGTAGACACTGTGGTTAGGTGTTGTCAGGCATGGCTTCGAGAAGGCCGTACGCAAAGAGCAAGGGGCACTGGACGCCGCCGTAGAACAACAGACCGTGAAGATCGCCGCCTAAGATTATTGGCCTTAAGGGACCGTTTTTCCACTACCAGATCCATTGCAAATGAACGGTTTGCAGAACACGGAAGACCTATTGGCAGGCGAAGTGTTTACCGACGAATGAGAAGTTTTGGCTTGTTTTCATACCGGCCACACTGAGTCCTCCCTTTAACTCGAGAACACCGACGTAATCGCCTTGAGTGGTGCAGACAACGGTCACTCTGGGATCAGGAATGGAACAGTATTGTCTTTAGTGACGAGTCTCGATTTTGTTTAGGCATGCACGATGGTCGTGCCAGGGTTAGAAGGCGACGTGGTGAAAGGAGGAATCCACAGTTTTTTGTTGAAAGACATGTTCATCACTCTGTTGGATTTATGGTTTGGGGTGCTATAGCTTATGATTCCAGGTCACCTTTAATCTTCATCAGAGGTAACATGAACGCGCAGCGTTATATCCACGAAGTCCTAGAACCCCATCTTTTACCCTATCTTGACACCCTGGCAGATCCAACTTTCCAACAAGATAATGCCCGACCACATGTTGCAAGAGTCACAATAGACTTCTTTCAACATAACGATGTCACATTGTTACCATGGCCACCAAGATCTCCCGACTTATCCCCAATTGAGCACGTGTGGGATATGATGGGTAAGAGATTGCTCAATTTGCAACGTCCTCCTCAGACTCTAGAAGCACTTCGAGAGGAGTTGGTGGTTGCCTGGAATGAGATACCACAGGAGGACATTGACCACCTGATCAGAAGCATGCCTAGGCGCGTTGGAGAATGCGCAGCACATCAGGGTGCATCCACACATTATTAAAGGTCAAAGGGCTTTGAAGCAGTGCAATCATTTTGAAATTTTTATCATTTACTTATTATGCTTCATTAAGTATTTATACAAAATTTTATTAAAATAAAAACATTTAAACTGGGTGTTCGGATTTATATGTCACTAAGTATATCATTACTCACGTTATTTAACAAAAATTAATCAGCAATTTTTTCATTTTTATAAATAAACCATACTAATTACATCTCCTAAACATAAAAGCAGTAAATCAATCTAGTAAAAAAAGCTTTAGTGTTAAAACTGTTTTTTTAGCGTTTATAATTACTTATTTAATTTAGCGAAGAACTGCGACAAAGAATTGTGAATGAATGCCTTCAAATTACTCCTCAAATATTGCAAAATATGCGGCAACGTTTTGACCAAAACCTTTATTATTTAATGGGGAGTCATGGTGGCCATTTTCAACATTTGCTTGCCTAACGGGTCAGTTCATTCTTCATTTTTAAATTACTTTGCTGCCAAATGTATTGATCTCTACTAATGATGATGTATTAGTTTTATTTAAGCTTTAATTCAATAAATCTTCAAAACTACTGAACATTAATTTTATATCATTATAAAGGGAATTGAAAGGCCTTTAAGATAAGGTATCACTCGACCCCCCCTTTTCATTTAAGATTTTAGGGTTGGTGTCACCCCCGCCCAGGGGACTGCACGTGTTAACGTGATTTTTTGCCAAACAAAATCGACGGGTCTGAGCGTTTTTCCAAAAAAAAAAACTGAGCTGCCAGTAAATGCGTCTGTTTCGTTTTCGATGCGCAACCCTGTATAAGAAAACGTACTGTATAATCGGAAACATTGATTACCAATTGGTGGAGGTATAAGTATAAAAAAATCATCTTAGAAAATGTAGTCGTCACAACTTTATCTGAAGTTAATATTTGTTGTAATATCGTAAGCGATTAGGGGGCTTTTGAGAGAATTTAGCTTGAGCAAGGGTTCCTTGAGGGAAGGCCTCTTGAGGAAAGTTTCTCTTAGAGATTAGTGACGAAACTTACTTTGCTTCTTGAAACCCTTCAGGCAGCACGTTCCTCTTTGTTATCGTGTGATTTCCCATCAAACCACTCATCAGCGTGTGATTCCTGGCTTGGAAAATAGAACACTTCACGTGAAGCATCTCTTTTCCTGTGGATCCATCGTCTCCAGCTGTCTCCGATATCACAGTTTGGTAATATATTGTTTTGCCCTGGAACAAATGAAATAATGTATGAATACGTGTGCAAATGCTTTAGATTCGTTGATCAAAACATTGTGTAGATCTAATTATTCACTAAAGTATCCGGATTAGATATGATGATATGTTTTATTTTATATTTTGCTACATGGTATTGGCTCGAAAACTTCCCAAACATCCGATGTTTATCCAAATTCAACTTTTTCTGTACCATACACCTGATTTACACTACTCGTAATTCAAGAACAGATATTTATTTCCAAGTAACAATTAATTTTTACAGAACATTCAAAAAGCATGATTTACGAGTATTATACTTTTTTAAAATTTTTCGCGATTATATTACTTTCTCACCAGTAGCGTGGAAAGTAAAAGTGCTAAGAATCTTGATGAAAATTTTAGGAAAAAACAAACAAAAGGTTTATCAATCATTACTTTCCATATTCTCAAAAAGGATCTCATTGAGTAGCTTTCTAGAGTTCAGTGATCGCGGCATCCAAATAACTACCTAGTTATAGAGATGGATACGTTTTCGCTTTCAATACGTCGAGAACCAATCCTTGACGCGTTTAGCAGCAATCATTTTTATACGGCTCTTGCTCAAGGGTTGCAATTTGATGTATACCATATAAATATAAAATCAGACACAAATTACTGAGAGCGTACAGCGCGGATTCACGATTCTAGCGTAAATCATGCTTCCTGCTTTCTCATATAATTTTCACGAGCTCATGGTCGCATGCAAGTTGGAATACTCGTTCGTTGTTCCTTTGGATACTTCATGTAATATTCTCTGATGTGCAGAATGTTCAGTACTTGGACAATCCTCAAGGGGTGATATCTTTAGTCATTGATGGTGTTAACCTTTTTTGAAACATGAAATTTGTCGAATTTTCGCGTGAACAGATGTAACGTAAAAATATTAATATATTTTCTGTATTAAAAAGATGTCGCCCTTGTATTCGTCTTTACGAACATTTACTGCAATAAAGCTTCGATAATCTAATTTGTTTTTTTTTATTTTTACGAAAACAATGCACTCTAGGAAAAAACACAAGAGTAATTATTTGTAGAAAATTGAAGGTAAAATTTGGAAAGCAAAAAACAGTGGCCCACTTGGAAAAATAATGCCACTAATCTTAGACTTTTGAGAGTGGATAATACTTAGGTAAATCCACATACCAAATTTTAGTTCATTCCCGTTGACGGTTTGAAGATATTAAACAATTTTTTTTATCTTTTTCACGACGCCCTCGAGAAAAAAATGTTACATAGAAGATCCCCCTGAAAATGAGGTCCTATGTATGATGTTTCATTTTTGGTCACGACTTGTGAATCACAATGTATATTTAATTTCTATTTTTTCAAATTTGAATAGCTGCAAAGCACATGTTATTATCACATTTAGACATATTTCAGTTATCAATGTATACTAAGTGACATATAAATCCGAACACCCAGTTTAAATGGTTTTATTTTAATAAAAGTTGGTGAATGTATTTATCTTACTGTAAATAACAATTTTCAGCCTTATCAGTTGGACATTCCGGTTTTTATACTGCTTTTTTTTTAATTCACTAACGCTCTAAAAATGAATATTTCAGCCGCAGTAAAGAATCAACGTTGGCGGATTTTGGTTCTTGACATCCTTTACGATCGGTTACGATGCCTAGAGTACGGAGACCTGTACGATTTCGTCAACTTAGTGAGTTTGATAGGGGCCGTATAGTGGGACTTCGGGAAGCTGGACTCTCTTTTCGGGCAATTGCAGTTAGAGTGCAAAGAAGTGTAGACACTGTGGTTAGGTGTTGTCAGGCATGGCTTCGAGAAGGCCGTACGCAAAGAGCAAGGGGCACTGGACGCCGCCGTAGAACAACAGACCGTGAAGATCGCCTTAAGGGACCGTTTCTCCACTACCAGGTCCATTGCAAATGAATGGTTTGCAGAACACGGAAGACCTATTGGCATGCGAAGTGTTTACCGACGAATGAGAAGTTTTGGCTTGTTTTCATACCGGCCACACTGGGTCCTCCCTTTAACTCGAGAACACCGACGTAATCGCCTTGAGTGGTGCAGACAACGGACACGCTGGGATCAGGAATGGAACAGTATTGTCTTTAGTGACGAGTATCGATTTTGTTTAGGCATGCACGTGGTCGTGCCAGGGTTAGAAGGCGACGAGGTGAAAGGAGGAATCCACAGTTTTTTGTTGAAAGACATGTTCATCACACTGTTAGAGTTATGGTTTGGGGTGCTATAGCTTATGGTTCCAGGTCACCTTTAATCTTCATCAGAGGTAACATGAACGCGCAGCGTTATATCCACGAAGTTCTAGAACCCCATCTTTTACCCTATCTTGACACCCTGGCAGATCCAACTTTCCAACAAGATAATGCCCGACCACATGTTGCAAGAGTCACAATAGACTTCTTTCAACATAATGATGTCACATTGTTACCATGGCCACCAAGATCTCCCGACCTATCCCCAATTGAGCACGTGTGGGATATGCTGGGTAGGAGATTGCTCAATTTGCAACGTCCTCCTCAGACTCTAGAAGCACTTCGAGAGGAGTTGGTGGTTGCCTGGAATGAGATACCACAGGAGGACATTGACCACCTGATCAGAAGCATGCCTAGGCGCGTTGGAGAATGCGTAGCACATCAGGGTGCATCCACACATTATTAAAGGTCAAAGGGCTTTAAAGCAGTGCAATCATTTTGAAATTTTTATCATTTACTTATTATGCTTCATTAAGTACTTATACAAAATTTTATTAAAATAAAACCATTTAAACTGGGTGTTCGGATTTATATGTCACTTAGTATATTTGGGAAGATTTTTGAGAAGTGTTTGAACTTTGTTCTTTTCTTGAGAAATATGACATAATCTCGAACTGTCAATGTATATGGGGAGCCGCATACACTAGTACTTTAAAAATACTACAAACCACGCAAAATTATATTGTCAGGACTATTTTCGTATCCCATGTACGTCAAGTTGCAGATTCGTTTACATTGAAAATGATCTTTTGAATGTTAGAGGTATTATATTTTTGGTGCTCTGAAATTTGATCACTCCAGAAACAATGTTCCTACCAGCCACGGTTACGAAACAAGAACTAAAATAAATATAAGTTACACTTATACCAGAGTGTATAAATCTGTTGGCCAAAAATGCATAAAGTTTGATGGTATTAGGTTGTATAATAAATTACCCCTAGAATATAAAATCCTTTCGAAGTATAGTTTCAAAAAAAGAATTAAGAAGTTCATTTTAAATAACTTTGACATGCTTGCATCGACTGTAGTTCGACTCAACCCAGCCATATCGTTTCTATCTAATGTTTTTATTTCTTTTTTTTATATACATTTGCTCATAATACAGTTTATGACCATTAGCTATGCATTGAACTTGTATATTGTGTGACACACACAAGCTTATAGCTTAGGTGTTTATTCTTTTGTAGTAAATAATGCTGTTTGATATGGTGGTATGTTTATAGTTTTGATTATATTAATAAACATATTAAAGTTACATTGTTAGCCGTATATAGATAATGGGAGTATAGTATCAAAAATACCTCCCATGATTCGTATACTTCCAGCAACCTATTTATTTAAAGTTTATTGCCGTTTGCCACCCTAGTCTATATTAGCGGTTGAAACGCTTTGCAACCTTATCACGTAAAAAATTGCATCTCGGAACGCAACCGTTGCAACCGCTTTTTTACGTGATAAGGGTATAGAGGGCAGACACGTCTCGAGTTTCTCGTTATATAAAACAAAGTATCCACCAGCTATCATTTCAATAATTACCTTTGAGAAATTGCTGCATTTTCAACACGCCACCACAAAAGGGGGAGTGTGTGTATTTGTTCTAGGCAGAGCAACTTCCAAACACAATACATCCAAGTTTATATTTCGGGAGGTTTCGTACTATGAGCACTGATATTTATCATCTCAATAGTAAGATTATGAAAACAGTACTGAATATCATCGTATACCCTTCGACAAAGCTTATTAATATGTGTGAAAGATCAAGCGTCTCTGAAAATATCTAAAGTGGTATCAATTTTTAAAGAAGAATCTGTTGACCAACCCTATCATCGTCCTACAAGGTGTAAACGTATCAGTCATTATTGTCAAAACAAGTCAAAAAAGTTCATATGACCCATGGTCCAAAAGTCAACACATTTTTGTCTAAATGGCTATATAGTTTACAACTTTAAGTGATATCGACCACAATCTTACTAATTTTTATAATCTAATCTAAAACGTTTTTAAATTGGGTAATTTGTAATGTCCTTATTTATTTTATAATTATAAGTATTTTTCTGGCATATTTGCTCAAACGCATATATGACCCTCAAATTGATATTGACAAGTCTTATATCATGTAACATGATCTAATAGGACAATAAACTATCTATCTATCTCTATCTATCTAAGTTAAGCCAACATTTGTAGTCAGTAAGTAAGTTTCATTAAATTAAATATTTAAAACACACATGACTACAGCGCGTCGGTCATTCATCACTCTTATCGAACCGGCAATCGATCGAAAACGGTAACAGTGGTTAGTATGTTGTTTTGTTTTTGTTCGCGTACGTCGTCGTGTTTATTTAACATTGAAAATCCGGATTTTTTTAAAAACATTCTAGCGAACGACGAATGTACTTCGCGAGACGGGATATTAAATTTCCATAATTCTCACACGTGGATCCAAGAATCCTCATACCATTCGTGAAGGTCATTTCCAACAACGTTTTAAAATAAATATTTGGGCGGGTACTCTTGACGATCAGGTAATTGGGCCTTTCGAGTTACGCTCAAAGTCGTCAGGAGAAGGATACCTTAGCTTTCTAGCCAATAACCTACCACAACTTTTGGAACAGACCTTAGACAACATGCCATTTCAACGGAGACAGAATTTGTGGTTTCTTCATGACGGGGCACCACCACACATTTTTAGAGGCGACATTCAGTATTTGAATGAACATTATCCAAATC